TGGAGCAGCCACAGCTTCTCTGGGCAACCTGTGCCAGTGCCTCAGCACCCCCACAGGGAAGAATTCCTTCCCAATATCCCATCTAGCCCTGTCCCCTGGCAGTGTGAACCTTTCCTGTGTCCTGTCCCTCCAGGCCCCTATCCAAAGTCCCTCTGCAGCTTCCCTGGAGCCCCTTCAGGCACTGGAAGAGGCCTTAAGGTCTCCCTGGAGCCTTCTCTTCTCCAAGCTGAACAATCCCAGCTCTCTCAGCCTTTCCTCCCAGCACAGCTGCTCCATCCCTCTAACCACTTTGGTGCCTCCTCTGGACTCACTCCAACAGCTCCATGTCCTTCCTGTGCTGGGCCCCCAGAGCTGGAGCAGCAGTGCAGGTGTGTCTCACCTGAGGGGGCAGAGGGGCACAAACCCCTCCCTCCCCTGCTGCCCACGCTGTGGGATGAGCCCAAGACACAGGTGGTTTCTGGGTGCACATGTCCAGGGCATGTCCAACCTCTCACTCACAGCACCCCAAATTCTTCTCCCCAGAGCTGCTCTCAACAGCTGCAGTTAGTTACTTAGCCAAGAGCTGATCTAGGCTCCAAAATTAATCCCACAAATGCCAATGAAGAAAAAACAAACAGAAAAAGCTGTGATGGTCACCAGAGCAAGGAAGAGCAAAGGTCTTTCCTACAGAGCAACTCGCAGTAGAACAGCAGAGCACAATACATAACATGGCCCAAGGAGAAAAGAAGGAGGAACAGGAAGACACAAACTGCTGGTAGCAAAAGATCTTGTTGTTAAGCAACTTCCAGAGCAACAGAGGTGTCTTACCCCTATTCTTACAGCCAGTAAATTCACTGCAGAATAAGACATTAAGCATTACTAAGTAAGCCTAACTAAATCAGGAAGAGCAGTGGTAAGACTCTGCATACAGAGGTCCTTCTGTGCCCCCCAAAGGTCCCTTTGCTCCCTTATTTCACTCAATACTAGACTGATTAACAAGCTGCAGCACTGAAATGCCAGTTAAGGTGCTCACAGACCCAGCTAGGAAGGGCTGGGGCACAAAGAACAGATCTGCAGCCATTTCATAACACTCCAAATGGGGTTTAGGAACTACAGAGGACATGTTTTACACTAGTATCAGTAGCATAGTATTGTAGAAACACTAAGCTTGCCACAAATTGTGAGGTTTAGTACTTCTCATCTATTAATGCCTCGTTCAGATTAGCCAATGACTGAGCCAAGATTTATTTCAATTAATTAATTCAGCTCAGGATATCAATGCCCAGATACTTAATTGCTTCTGCTGCCAGCAGGAAACACTCAGAACTGAAGTTACTGCTTAGAAAGGGTAAACTTCATTGTCTTCTAAGCTCAGCTATTTGCACTGCTCAAGGATTCCTCACTGCAGGGGGAAAGAGCAGTATTAGCTACTCCTGTTGTAGGATTATTTACCCCCAAAGCAGGCAGCAGGACTAGCTGGAGGGCAGGGAAGGCAACAAGACCAACACTCACCTGCAATAGATCCCACCAATCCATCTCCCATCTTAGAAGGCACAAATTAAGTCTGTCCTATCTTGCACCACACAACCACTGGGTATTTCCATGTATATCTTGCCAGTACTTGACTTCTTTACCTTTGTGTGGGTTTCCTTACCCCGGCACTGACTTCCGCTGCTGCTCAAAGCACAGCCCACACTCCAGCTGAAACACACTGGCTTCAGGGTGAACATGACAGTCACCACCTAACACTTCACCCAGTGAAGTGTCTGTCTTCACTGGGATGGGTAAATTCATGCATAGGCACCTTTTAGCAGGGTTCACCATCATCAGAAGTGTGAGAAATCTGTTTCGAAACAACAAGTTTGGGTGTTTTTAGGTACTAATGAGAGATGCAGACCTGCTGCCCACGTGGCAGGAGAGAAGAGTTCTGGCAGGCACACAAGGCATTATGCAGATGACAAAAAGAAACACAAGTCAGATCTCATTTCCCTTTTCTGACTGCTCTTCCCCTAACACTGCATCAGCTTCTACTTCTCTAGCACAAGTAGCATAAAAGTTTCAACTGCTTCTTGATTTGGCCTTTTACATCTTTAATGCCTTAACTGTAAGGAAAATAATCATAAAAAAAAACAAAGACAGAAGACATGCTTCATGTGGAAAAGGTTCCCTAACAGGCTGCAGGGGAGGAGAGCATCCCTCACTGCATCCCCTACCCACAGGGCAGTGAGGTGTCTCAGTTTCACTCTCAGACTATTCAGGGTTAAGCAGAATATCATCAGCGCATTCCTTGTTTGAGCGCCACACTTGGGGCTTGCTGGAGCTCTCAGACTAACTGTGCAGCAAAGGAAAGCTTCATATCACCTCAAAAGCACTTTAGTTGCTTCACTGACCAAAGGTAAACCAGCACCTAGGTCATCCCTGGCAAGGATCTCCCCTAACCTGCTTCCCATTGAGAAACCACTGCAGCATTTCAGACATCAAACTCACTTATTACCAAGTGCAAATACTCTTAGACACACACACATTTCTCTGTGTGGTCTGTAAATCACATTTTCAGTGCCACTTGAGTTGTTTGCTCCCTGTGCCTTGGCTACATCTATTACATATTTACCTGGTATAGCTAATTAATTATACTTACTGCTCTTTCCTGAGCTAACTCAGGATGTAATTGAGTAGCTCAGGATGGCACTGCCTGAACAACTCTGGGTGTCACTACAAACATGCTGCATTCTCTTATCCTTAAACTCTACTAATCACCCAATTTACATATTGGAAAGCCAAATGAAATTGGTAGTTCATTCCTCACTTCTTTAAACAGTGCTAAAATGCCTATTTGAAAGTCCATTTAAAACTTCTACAGTATGAGGAATTTTCTACAAACACATCAGTTTTGTTCCTCCTCTTAAAATTAATTGAATTAATGGCATAATCTCAGATGCACAGTTTTACAGTTGACAATTTATTTCATGGCTCATATGGGAAGGGAATAGTTGAAAGTCTGTTTAATTCCATGTGGTGCTTTCCACATTGATAAAAGGCAAAGGAGATAGAGCAAGGAGAGGAAAACCAAATAAGAACAGCAAATCACAGCCGCTCCAGGCTGCTGAGATGACAGGCCATGCTGCCCCTCTCCTCCCACTGATCCCTACCCGCACTCCCAGCTGAGCAAGACCAACCCTGGTCATGGTGCCCAGAGACCTCCAAGGAACAGGAGCCAAAAAATCCCTCCCTGAAACACCCCTGATCCTGCAACTCCACACACGCTCAACCCTTGGCTGCAGGAGCTCCTTCCTCCTGATAAAGGCAATGCTAACACCTGATGTGGCTGTGCTTAAAGCAGGGGGAACCTGCTGCAGGAGGGAGATATCATCTCAGCGTCTCTGGGACAGCTTAAGGGAGGACACAGTGTCCTACCTACTTTATGATCATGCTGAGGATGTTTTAAGTGGAAAAACCCCACTCAGTTCCCTGCCTTAAAAGGTGTTCTCCTGGCCATCCCTGCAGAGCCACTCTGGGGATCAAGAGGCTCTGCATCAGTGCAGGTTCTTAGCAAAACACAGCATAGAGAGACACTGTGCTGGATCAAAGTGCTCTTCCTCTGCCTGAGCAGCTCCTTCCAGCACACATCCAGGTCTGACAGCTCTAGGAACAGCCTGAACAACTACTATCACCTTTCTCCCCCTGCATTAAAACCAGAACTTCCCAGCCACACGTGAGCAGAGAGCCAGCAATAAATCACCTGGATATTAGAATGCAAATAGGTTATGTATTAGAATGCACAGGTTATCAGCAAACACTTTATTGTCAGACTCTAATTGCAGTCACATGCCTGAGTGACACTGCTGGGGCCACACTGCTCCAGAGAAGGGAGTCCCTGGTTTCTTTCCAACCTGGCACAGGCCCAGAGTTCTGAGAGGGTCGCCTCAGGTAAGCCCAAACAGCAAATATACAAGCTTTGAGCTCATAGCCTGTGAGTAGATGTCCTCAGACTCTGCCCCTTAAAAGCCACCTAAACCCTGTGTGCTACTGCCTTCCCACCAAGAGATGGACTGTCCCTTTCTGCTCCCCTGCTATGTTTTATACATGAAACAGTCAGCAGAACACAGAAGAGAAGAGCAGCAAACCCTGTCCAGGTGTGCTGGTTCAAACAGCCCTCCCAGAGCTGTGCAAGCAAAGCTTTCTTCTCTGCACAGCATCACAGACCACCAGGCAGCAAAGCCCACCAAGGGCAAACAGAGCAAAGCTCAAACAGAGGAAAAGTCCTCAGTCCTGAGCTTTGTCTCATCTCTGCCTACTTAGAGCAACAAAGCAGCTCCACAGGGAGTCCCCAACAGCCATTCCTTCTATGCAGAAGAAGCAGGACAAGCAATGCCACCTTGCAGTCTCCTGCAGATCTTCAGCCCATCTGCAGGTACTCACCACAGCAGCAGGCAAAAAGTAAATGAAATAAGAGATACTTTACCTCTGCCACAAGAATCTGGCAGTTGCTGTGGTTGCAGTGGTGCCTAGGAAAGCTGCCAGCACAAGCCTGTGCCTGGCCCTGGGGTGCTGTGCTGTCCCATGGTAGCGCCGAGACACAGCCACCAGCCCCGAGGTGATGGGCAGGAATCGCAGGCGAAACATCCTGCCAAGCAAGAGCAACACATTAGGGAGGCAACAAAGGATTTGCAGTGTGGATTCTCCCGGAATAGAAAGAGTTTCAGGACATAACTGCCATGGGTATTTATTGCTTGTTCTGAAATAGGCACTAATGTGCCTAATAGCAGCAAATTCTGAGGGTTAGGGATTGGGACACACATGGCTGATACATCCCAACTGCTCCTCAGCTGCTCTCACAGCCTAATTCCAATCCCTCCCTTAGCTTTCTCCCACCACACCTCATCAAGAGGGAATCTCTCTTGCCCACAGAGGCTGTGATCTCTACCAGTGTACAAGGACGGAGCTCCAAGCAACCTGGGCTAGTGGAAGGTGTCCCTGTGCATGGCAGGAGTGGGACTGGATGAGCTATAAGGTTCCTCCCAACCCAACCCATTCTGTAACCTAATTTTTGTAGTCTACAAAATACAAATATTTGTAGTCTACCTCTCAAGGCACAGAAGGTGCAGGTAGATCTTACAAGCAACTACAGCAGGTAAGAGCCATTTGGGCAGAGGGAAAGTCACAGCTGGATTTTACAAGGCAAATAACAACCAAATAACAAGCAAAGCCACCACACATACCCCAACCCAGGCATGTCACACTGCCCCAAGAGAAACCAGCTGCTCTCAAATCACCTTTTCAGCTAGCCTGGAGCAAAACATTCATATTCAACTGTAAGCACAAGGCAAGTTTCAAAGTGTCATAGAATCATCAAGGCAGGAGGAAACCTCTAAGATCATCAAGTCCAACCATTAACCTATGACTGCTGTAACCCCTAAAACCTAAACCATATCCTTCAGCATCAGATGCAGATGCCTCTGGAACACCTCCAGGGATGGCGACTGCACCACCTCGACTAGAATAGCTTTGCCCAGGAAGTCAAAACCAGTAAAATACAATCCATACCCCATTGCAGGCACAAATGGGAAATCAGAGCCACAAATCCCAACAGGGAAATCAGAACCTCATCACCCACACCAGCTGTAGGAGGCACAGCAAGTCCTGTTGCCTCACCAGGTGGGAGGTGAGGGGTAAATGCTGCCACCTTTAAACATAAAATGTACTGCATTTACTGAAATAAAGAGTTATTTCCAAGGCAAAGTCAATTTTCCAACCATGGGATCAGCCTTAAAATTGGGAACAGGATGGTAAAGCAATTCCCAAGGCTGCAAAACCACTGGAGTCCAATTTTCCCTTTTATTTCCCATTCTTCTGATCATTCTCAGCCACTGAATCACCATAGAACACAAAAACGAAGTCCCATCTCTTGGTTTCTGTTTGCTTTTGCTCCACTGAACCATCAACTCCCAACAATGAGGACCTTGGGAGTATTTTGTGCCAACACATCTTGTGTGCTGTGTGTTAGCCCATTCCAGCTGCAAAGGGATGGATGTATTGCTGCTCATTAACACCACATGCAGCTCAGGAGTCTATAATGGGAACCAGTGATGCAAACCTTGAGAGGGGAAAAGAGGAAGAGGGAGGGAAGATGCACATAAAACACTCCACAGGTAATATTGAGGGCTAGAGCTCAGTATCTTTCAAGGCAAGAGGTGATGGAGATGCATCTGAGGACTTCATGCCACAAACAAGAGATCTGTGGTGATGGGAAAGGAAGTACAGGGGATGAAACATTGTTTTTAGGGTGTTCAGGCACTGGAATATTTCCCAGAGAGGTGGAGGAGTCACCATCCCTGGAGGTGTTTAAGAGGCATCTGGATCTGGTGCTGGAGGATATGGTTTAAGGGTTACAGCAGTGACAGGTTCAGAGTTGGACTTGATGACCTCAAAAGTCTCTTCCAACCTTGATGATTCTATGATCAGCAAATCCTTTACTGGTGGTTTTCCTCACCAGATGAAGACTTCTGCAGAGTCCTGGGACAAGGCAGGTGGGATGGAGCACCAGAGGTGATGGCAGGCTGTGCTGGAGGTGACCATACAGAGCCAATGCATGGCTGTCTGTCCCCACCCTTGTTTATGGCCAAACATCACAAGCTGCTGCTCACAGCTAATCCATGGGCACAGCATTTATTCCATATCCATCTGTGCACTTACAAAAACTGGCACTATCATGTTGTTTACTCCTTTAAAAATAGGCTTAAAATGAAAGTTTTGATGGACTACAGCCAGCAAATGCTTATTCTTCAACTTTCTCCAGCTCTGAACAAGAGAAGAAAGCTATGAAAAACACTTATTTCCAATTTAAAATTATTCCCATTCTGCACAAACCCAATGCTCCCATTCCATCTCCAGGGATGAACTTCTGTTCCATATGCAGAGCAGACTCTCCATGTGTTACTCTCCCCCAGAAGCTCTTGCTGCCCTTACTTGGGTTCCTCATCCTAATTACAGCTTTGTATTCCTAAAATGTGCTGGATAAGGGAAGTGTTGCCCATATCATTTCATCAGCCAAAATGAAAATGAAGCCCCACAGTGAAGAAGAGAAGCCTGAAGAGATTTTTACACTTCAGATTGTTGGCTTTTGTGCTACAGAAATGTTTGCTCTGCCTGAGCCTGAAGAAACACTGAATTATCTGCTTTGTCCAAGCAATCTCCCTCCTTGATTGTGCCATGCTCACCCAGCTAGTCCTAGCAATTGCCTGAGAGCGCTGAAAGCAGGCACTTCCCATAATAACCCTAAAATAAGGAGCATCCTTACCTCAGAGCAATCAAAATCCCTTTGGAAGCTCAATTTTCTGTACTCTCCAGCTGCAGTTTTTACAATCTCTCTCAATTTTCTTCTTGAAAGTCAACAGCACCAAGATATTTGGTAAGACTGAGTAAAAGCTCCATTTAAGGAGCCATTTAAGCCAAGATCACTCCAGGATAGCTGTTGCTCACCTGGAGAAAGATTAAAGATAAGCATCTTGCCCTGAGTGCAGCAGTGAAAAGCTTCACACCATGATCTGCAGCAGGACAAGGGATAAAGCTGAGACCAAGTGTAAACCTCCCATGAACTTATATAAGAAACCATCTCAATTCTGGTCTGATTTAAGAAAGGATTATTTTTACAGGGTACAACTAAGAAGCTAAGAGGAAAAAAACAAGTGCCAAGCAAGTGCCCCCAAAAAGCTACCCCCAAATAGCCCCCCCCAAAAAAAGAAGCCAACATCAAAGTTATCACAGTGTTCTACCTGCTGCTACCAGGAACCTGCAGATTGTATTTTAGTTTCCAAGAGATAAGCAAGTCTTATCTTAAGCTCTTGCTCAGAACAGCTCTACAGTTCCTTTCACAGGGTGAATTAACATCCTTGGACAAAAGAAACAGTTGGGGCTTTTTCCAGCACAGAATGTCTCATCTCTGCTTTTATTTATGCCCCAAGATATGGGCAATATTTACTTTAAAGTAGAAGAGTCAGCTGACAGACCTGGGTGGTGTTTGCTCCACCATTCAGCATGAATCTGTCCACCAATCCCAACCCTCAGAGACAAACAGCCAAAAAACCCAACAAAAAGTCCACCTCACCCTCAACAGAATTAATCAGGCTGGAAAAGACCTCTCTCCAAGACTAAGTCCAACCTCTGACCCATCACCACCTTGGCAACTAGAGCAGAGCACCAAGTGCCACATCCAGTGGTTCCCTGAACACCTCTAGAGGTGGTGACTCCACCACCTCCCTGGGCAGCTCCTTCCAATGCCTGACAGCCCTTGCCATGGAGAAATTCCTCCTGATGTCCAACCAGAACCTCCCCTGGTGCAACTTGAGGCTGTTTGCTCTCATCCTGTCCCTTGTTCCCTGGGAGCAGAGCCTGACCCCACCTGGTCTGTCAGGAAGTTGGAGAGAGCATACAGTCCCCCCTGAGCCTCCTTTTCTCCAGGCTGAGCACCCTCAGCCTCTCCTGGAGCTCCAAAAACCTCCACCCAAAGAGCTCTGCCAGCCCATCCTGGTATTCTGTTCTCTTCCCACTTTGGCATCAGGTTTTTGTGCCCCAGCTCTGTGGTTTAGGTTGTGTGTCTGCCCCAGCTGCTGCAGCAGCTCTCATAGGTGGAACAGCACAAAGCCTCATGGATTTGTGATTTGGCATTAAACCTGTTCACTCTGACATCCAGGAAAGCCACAAACCTATTGGGAAGGTACCACCTCTGATTCAAGACACAACAGGCATCATTTGAACTAGGACATCCAGGTCACTTTCAAAGAACTGCACAACTATTTCACCAGTTCCATCCACTGTGGCTTGATGTGGCTGCCTGATGTCCCCAGGCAATGATCTGCTGTCTGCTAACCTGTTGTGCAAAAAACTCCTCCCCTTGCCCATCTCCAGATCACCAACTGTCCAGCTCTGGATTTGCTCAGTGCAGACAAGACCTGGCAGATCCCAACTCCTCCATTCTTTTCCATAGCCAAAAGAAAATATTAAGAAGACTTGCTCCTGTTTTCCCAGCCCCTAATCCACTGGTGGCTTCAAGCCTGAAAGCACGAGGCAGCCCAGGCCAGGGATAAAGGGAATTCCCACACAGCATTGAACTTTTTGTAGCCCTTTTGGGGCTCCAGAAGAGCTGAAACACACTCAAAACGGAGTTTTGATGTCGAGGTTGGCCTCAGTGGCACAACCATGTGAGAGGGAAAACAGCAATTCACTAGGATGATGAGTGATTAATTTTTAATCAGAGAAGGGTTCACAGGCACTTGTTATTTGAACAATTTAGGACATGCTAAGCTGCTGCATTAGTGCAGAATGCTAATTGTTAATTTAAATTGAAAATACTCTTATACAGTAAGATATTCAAAGCAACATTTGCATTTAGGAGGCACCAGTTAGGCACAGACTCCTGCAGGAACTGGCGAGGATGGAGTCACTAAGAACTCACAGAGCTTTCTAGAGCTGTGTGTTTATTATAAAGCAAAGTCTGATGCTGCCAGTGCACATCAAGACACCCTGACTCAACAGATGCTGTAGGAAAACTCCTCACCTATCCCATCTCAGCCCCTGACTCAGTTATACCTCAGTCCTGATCACTGAATCCAATGACATCAGCTCTA